GCCTGGGAAAGGCATTTTGAAAGTATGAGTGGAGGTGGGGCTTGGTGGCTCACGCCTGTAATCCCAACACTTTGAGAGGCTGAGGCAAGAGACTGCTTTAGCTGAGGAGTTTGAGACCCAGCCTGGGCAATTTGGCGAGATCTCATCTCTACAATAAAATTAAAAAATTAGCCAAATGTGGTGGCACATGTCTGTAGTCCCAGCTACCCAGGAGGCTGAGGCAGAAGGATTGCCTGAGCTTAGTAGGTTGAGGCTGTAGTAGCTGTGAGCATGCCACTGCACACCAGCCTGGGTGACAGAATGAGACTCTGACTCACAAAAAAGAAAATAAAAGAAAGTGTGAATGAAACGGTCAAGTGGGAACACTGGGTTTCTGGGTTTGCACAGGAGTGGTGAGAAGGAATGGCTTTGGTGGTTTATGGAGTTTGCTGTCATGACCCTCCTCTCTCCCCATCTCCCCCCTTCCTTTCCTATTCCTTTCTCTGCTTCCCTTTCCTCCTTTCCCCTCTAACTCCCCGTACCTATACATAGCATTTCATCCATCCTGTGTCTGCATTATGCAATGGATGTTATTATTATTTGCATTTGGGCAAGGAAACCCGAGTCTCTGGCCATGGTTGCATGGTTTATGAGTCTATTCGGAGTCTGTAATCATCCTACTCGCTTGTCTCAAGTGTGGGAATAAAGCCAGGCTGGGATTAGGGGGTTGTAGAATTAGCAGGGTGGCTGATCAAACCATCTAGGGCAAGATGGTGTGTGTGGTCAGGAGTGTAGCCTTGAGTCAGATGGCTTGGGTTCAGATCTCAGCTCTAGTACTTGCTAACTGCGTGGCCCTGGGCGAGCAGCAGCATTATCTCGCCAAGCCTCAGTGTCCTCATTTGTAGCATGGGAACAATAATGCATACCTCGTGGGGTTGTTGTGAGCATCAATGAGGTGTTCCTGCGCAGAGCAGCCACTCACCACCTGGAAGTGTTTGTAATGAGCCCTCCCAGACCTCTGGGCTGTGGCTGTGCACCTGCATTGCGTTCTCCAGCACAGTGATTTCCAGGACCCAGTCCATTCTGGCTGGGCTCTTGTAAGTAAACGATTTTTTTTTTTTCCTGAGTTGGAGTCTTACCCTGTTGCCCAGGCTGGAGTGCACTGGCATGCTCACCGCTGCCTGCAGCCTCGACTTGCTGGGCTCAGGTGATCTTTCTGCCTCAGCCTTCCAAGTAGCTAGAACTACAGGTGTGTGCCAGCACACCTGGCTATTTTTTTTTTCTTGATTTATTGTAGAGGTGAGGTCTTGCCAAGTTGCCCAGGCTGGTCTTGAACCCGTGGGCTTGGACAATCCTTTCACCTCAGCCTCCCAAAATGCTGGGATTATAATCATGAGCCACCATGCCTGGCAAGTAGATGTATTAAGGATCACATTAAAGGTGCTGGGCCGGGCTCATGGCTCAACCTGTAATCCTAGCGCTTTGGGAGGGCCAGGTGAATGGATTGCCTGAGGCTGTGGGGTCAAGACCCGCCTAGGCAACTTGGCGAGACCTCATCTCTACAATTAAAAAAAAGAAAAAAAAATTAGCCAGGCGTGGTAGTGCACACCTGTAGTTCCAGCTACTCGGAAGGCTGAGGCGGAAAGAGAGGTGGAAGGATCGCCGGAGCCCAGCAGGTCGAGGCTGCGGTGGCTGGGAACAGCCACTGCACTCCAGCCTGGGTGACAGAGTGAGACTCCAACTCAAAAAAGAAAAGATGCTGAAAGGATGCCACCAGTAAACGTTTACTGAACACATATGTGTGCTTGGTGTGGCCTAGGAACCAGTGACTCAGACCCATGCCTCATGAAAAGGAAGGTGGAGGTGGGGCTGTTGGTGGTTCTGGCTTGATCTCACTGGGTGATATGTGATGGGGAAGGATACTAGAAGTGGGGAGGAGACAGGCCCTTCATCACCAAGAACTGAGATGAGCTCAGGTCTACTTGGTAGTTGGTGAATGACTGACACAGGCTCACAGGGCCCCTTCTGAGCCCAGGGAATGGCAGGGGCCCTCACCAGCACAGGTGCCTCCCACACTTGAGGTCTGGTGGGACCTCTGCCCATCTCTTCCAGGTGACAACGGCATGGCTGTGCCCCAGGCTTTCCCACTGGGGCCCCTCCTTGAGCCTGCGGGTGCTGTGATAGAGTCCCAGCCCTGCCCTCGGAGCTTGGCTGAGGACTTCCTGGAGGAAGAGCTTCGACTCAATGCTGAGCTGAGCCAGCTGCAATTTTTGGAGCCTGTAGGCATCATCTACAACCCTGTGGAGTATGCATGGGAGCTGCATCGCAACTACGTGATTCGCTTCTGCCAGGCCCCCAAGGAAGTGCTTTTCCTGGGTATGAACCCGGGGCCTTTTGGCATGGCCCAGACTGGGGTAAGGGGCTTGGCTTCCCTGGCAGGTGGAGTGGGGTGGGGAGTGTAGGGGGTGGGGGAGTGGGAGCCCAGGGTGATGCTGCCTGGGTGTGTGTGGAGGAGCATGTGCATGGCTGTGCAGATCCCCGCTCCATCCTCTCCTAGCACACACAGGCTCCTGTGGTTGCAGACACTCTCCTGGCCTCTCTGCCCATAATTAACCAAGCACATTAATGGTAGTTCCGATTTCCCCAAGAGCTGGCTGTTAATTACCTCTGAAAGCCCTTCCTTCCTCCAACTCCATCCTTGCCTTGCCGGATCTCCCCTAGTGTGTGATTGAGGTCAGAAGAGGGCTAGGACTGCTGGGTCCTGAGAGGAGCCTGGCTGACAGGTGGG